GGGGGGGGGGGGGGGGGGGGGGGGGTGGTGCCAGGAGCCTCTGGAGACGCCGCTTACAGCAGCTGCGCCCTGTCGGCGGTGCAGGTTGGGTCCCTGGGGGCCAGGCAGCGCAGAAGGCTATTGTCCGCATGTGTCCAGGCCAGCCCTAGCCCTGCCTCCACCTGCGGCCTCCGGACTCCCCGGGCACACACAGACCCTAGGAAGCCCTTCCCTTCCTGCTTCCCAACCTCCTGCCTCGGGTTCCAGGCATCTGTTCCCTCAAAGCCCAGGCGCTGGGGCCTGGCCAAGCCTTGGTCTGCCTTGGAGGAACTGGCACAGATGCACTGTAGGTGCCCACCGTGGTGCCCACTTGGGTTATCTGGAAGAGAATTCCCTGAGGGAACTGGTACCCGATTCCAGGCTGCCTGCTGGACAGCCTGCGACCCGATGCTGGGCCTGTGCGCCCTTTCAGGACCTCAGTCTGTCTCTCTCTCCCCTCCCTCCTCCTCTCTCTCTCTCTCTCTCTCTCTCTCTCTCTCTCACACACACACACACACACACACACACACACACACATTGGGGGTAACCCTTAGCCCATGGTTCTCAAAGTGTGGTTCCAGGGCCAGCAGCACCTGAGAACTTGTTGCAAACCCAAATCCTCAGGCCCCATCCAGACCAACCAGATTTAAAACCCTCTGACAGGAGGGGCCAAGCAATTTGTCTTAACAAGTGATTGTGATGCCCGCTCAAGTTTGAGAGCCTCTGGTTTCAAGTCCACCTGGCACAGGGTTCTTGAGGGGGGTGGGGGGGGGGTGGAGAGAGAGACCTGGCTTTAGATCTCTCCTTTTCGAGCTTGTTTTCTCATCTGTAAAATGGGTCCCTTTGACAAATTGCACCTTCTTTAAAGTCTCCCTGGCAATTCTAATCTTTTGTAATTTTAAACTTCACCTTGCAGGACCTCACCTCCGTTTCCCCAGCTGGGGAATCGGTCATGATCAGGGTCAAGGAATGGTCCTCCCACCATGTTTCTTATCTGAAATACGGGACGATGGGGAGGGAGTCACATTTCTAAGTCCTAAGGCAGAGGTCCTCCAGCTTGACTGTACTTTGGGGTGAGGAGGGTGGGCTTATTTACAGCACAGACTCAGCCCCCACTGCTATTCACTAGTTCACTGGGTCTGAGATGTCGTTCCCTACTGACCCTGATGCAGGAGGGGTCTGTGGGCCAGAGTTGGCCAAGTCCTGATTTTCAAATCCCTTCCATGGCTGGACAGAAATGCCCTCTTCTAGGAAGTGAGGGGGAAATGCAGAGTCCCACCAAGACTTTGTAGAGTCTCACCCACCTTTTTAGTCCCGAAAGGGCCGCCTCTAGGCCAGACAGCATCCTGTAGAAATTAGAAGAAAGGCTCCCATTCCTCTGGGTGGATGCAGCCCCCTGCCGGGGTCTGACAAGTGGACTTCGGGCTGGGTTTCCGCCCCCGCTCAATCCCTTAACCACACACTCTGAATGCAGCAGCCCTGGTAGCCTCACTGACACTGAGCAGGCTTTGGAATTGGCTGCACCCAGGTTCAAGTCCCACAGACCAGAGAGGTTGAGCATCCAGCCCAGCGCACACAGCAGCGAGGAGGCCAGGCTCTCCAAAGCCCAGAACTTACTGGCTTTTTTTTCTGGGTGCTTCTTGGGACTGTGGGTATGTGTTAGGAAGGAGGGTGTCAAACACATGGGACCCCGGGAGCAATATCAGAACTAACCCATCCTTCCCCATAGGCAGGCTGTTAATGCCACCGGCCACCTTTCGGACACTCTGTGGCTGATCCCCATCACATTCCTGACCATCGGCTATGGGGACGTGGTGCCGGGCACCATGTGGGGCAAGATTGTTTGCCTCTGCACTGGAGTCATGGTGAGTACAGCCACCTCAGGGACCCTCCCCAGTTCCGCACTGGTCATCCCCTGGCTCCAGGAAGCCATGGAGCCAACGCAGGCAGTCAGGGCCACCCTCAAGAAACCGGGCATCTGGGCCTCCACAGCCCCATTTCCTTTTAAAACACAGGAATCCATCTCCCAAACGCTTGCTCTCTCAGAAACCTAAGATCCCAGCCCTCATCCTCCTCAGGAACACAAGGGCCCTAACTTCCCAGCCCCATTTCCTCCCAGAATCCAGGAATCCAGCCCTGAGCCCGTCAAGGCTCCGCATCCTGCCCACCCCCTGGCCCCCTAGTCATCTAGGACTCAGGCCCCATTTCCCAGCTCTGGGAGAGGAATCCAAGCTCCCAGCCTCCATCGAGGCCACAGAGTCTAATCATGGAGAGTATGCCTGGGGGGCCAGGCTGCCTAGGGCCAAATCCTGCTCCTGCCACTTCCTAGCTGGAAGCAAGCCATATACTAGTACCTCCCAGGCCTCCGTTTCCTCGTCTATAAAATAGGATACTTGCCGAAACCGGTTCCCAGAATCCAGGAATCCAGCCCTGAGCCCCGTCAAGGCTCTGCATCCTGCCCCACCCCCTGGCCCCCTAGTCATCTAGGACTCAGGCCCGCCTGGGGGCCGGGCTGCCTGGGACCAAATCCTGCTCCTGCCACTTCCTAGCTGGAAGCAAGCCATATACTAGTACCTCCAGGCCTCAGTTTCCTCGTCTATAAAATAGGATACTTATACCAGTGAACTCCTCGGGTTCCTGAGGAGACTAAATGAATTGAAACATGTAAAGGATCTCAAACAGTGCCCAGCACATAGGAAATGCTCAGGAAGGGGCGGGGGGCTGTTATAATGGCCCCAGGCATCTGCCACCCCCACCCCAGCGCCAGTCCCTCAAGGATGAGGCAGAGGCTCTCCAGCCCCATGTTGCCTCCTCCCAGAGTCAGCCTCCGCCCGAATCCAGACATTCACCCTTTCCCCTTCACAGACCCAGGCATCCAGTTCCCCCCATGCAGCCCTTATCCCCCCACCCCACCCCCGGACCCAGCACCCAATGCCTTGGCCTTCACCTCCCCAAGAGACCGGGCTCCCCTTACCCTCAGGGACTCAAGCCGCCGGTCCCCAGCCCTGATGCTGTCCCAGGAAGGACATGTTGAATCCCAGGGAGGAGGGTGAGGGACACCCCAGTGACCTGATGGCCAACTGGGTGTGAGCAGCAGGGAGGAGTGGTTCCCGCAGGAGCCTGAGGTCTGCCCCTTGCCCAGCCCAGCCCTCCTCTCCTCCTCCATTCATACCCTTAACCAAAGAGAATATTTTGATGGTGTAAATACACACAGGAGTTCATCTCAGACCCGTGATTTCTAATCCTCGCTCCCCGCTTGGAGCTGTTTGCTTCTCTGTCAACTAGGGGTGGTTGGGCCTGCCTTCTGTGGCTGTTGCAGGGGAGAGGGCGTGGAGGTGGGCAAGGAGAGCTGGTGGAACAGGGCTGGCCTACAGAGCCCCACAGCCCTGTGTCACACACAGTGCCTGCTGTGCCCACAGGGAGTCTGCTGCACAGCCCTGCTGGTGGCGGTGGTGGCTCGGAAGCTGGAGTTCAATAAGGCAGAGAAGCATGTGCACAACTTCATGATGGACATCCAGTATGCCAAAGAGGTGAGGGCGGGCTACACAGGAGTCCCAACCCCAGCTCCCTCCTCCCTCAGACCCAGGAGTCCAGGCCCCCAGCCCCTCCTCCCTCAGACCTAGGAGTCCAGG